TGTCTTTGTTTCTTTCCTTATTTATATCTATCTTTTGTTCTTTGTTTGTTTGTTTCTTTCTTTCTTTCGTTCGAGGGGCAAAGAACCAAGAGCCACTGAAACCAAGAACTTGTAGGAAATCCTCAAGGGGCAAGCCAAACCAGGGTAGAGCCAAACCTTTGAAAAAAAAACATGGCCCCCCTAAACCCTAATCCCTATATCCTAATCCCTAGAGAACCTTTATAAACCCTAAACACCAGCAAGTTGCTGGATGAAGTTTGCAATGTCCGGAAGCTCGGCGGCGCCGATGCCACCGTGCTGCCTTGCGAAGTTCAGGGCCACTTGCTGTGGGTCCTCCAGGGAATTTAGGGTTTAGGAGTTTAGTATAGCAATAATGGAAAAGAACATGGAAACTACGACATAGTTTGTAGGGTTCAGGGTGTAGGGACCGAGTAGTGGTGCATTGTTCTTCGATTAGTATAGTCATAATGTAAAGGAAAAAGGAAACTCCTATATATATGTATATAAAATTTAGGGTTTAGGGTTTAGCGTGGTAGGGGATTTTCTTCCGAAACGAGGGCCCTTTATGGGGGGGGTCCCTATAATAAGGATTATAGCTACAGAATGGGGTCTATATGGGGATCCCCGAATTTATGGGAACTAATCCCCTCCCCCTAATGTTTAAACCCCCCCAGCCCCCTTCAATAGACTATAACTATACCACAATGGGGAGTATTTAATGTTAGGGGGGTTAATATAGGGGGGGGGGGACGGAACAGCTTATCAACAACCTGGCCTTGCACGAATCCTGAAGCAGGCTACTTAAGGGGGTGTTAGGGGGACTTAGGAAGTAGCTTAAGAAGGGTGGATAGCTAGGGATATTATATGGGACATAGGGGTTGACCTACTTACAAAGTCCCCCAGAACCTAAATCCTCAACCCCAAATAATATGTAGTAGTTTCCATGTTCTTTTTCATTATTGTTATTACACAAAACCAAGAAAATGCCCACTCACTCGGCATCACGCCCGCTCCGTTTGCCTACTTGGTTCCAGCAACTCAACCCATGCGACGTATAGTCTGAAGTCCTAGCCCCTGCGGGACCCCTATAATATAGAGTTTAGGGTTTAGGGTCTAAACTCCTAGTATCCCCCTCAATATCCCTTATCGTACTATAGAATCCCCCATATAACCTCCTTCAAGGGGTTTAGAGTATGGCTCATGCAACCTTTCGTCTGGCCCAAAGAACCCGCTTGCAGCTACATTTGCCGTGTCCTCACCACGGTTCCAAGAGATTGTGAGGCGGCGTCCGTCTGCAACTTCAACAGGGAAGTTGAAATCCTTCGCGTAGCCTGGGATACCCACTTTTAATATTCTTGTGGATCTATAAGGAATATGTAAGCGCTATACCATGATAAGCAAAAATTATTCCCAGGAATATACCAGCAGCCAGTGCCACCGGAAGAGCCCTGCTGCTGCATTGTCTGCATGACAAACGCCACTACATCGCCTTACGGCAAGCAGTCCAGCAATCAAAACGGCTTGACTTACTGGCTCTTCAGGGGGAGTGGGAGAGCGGATCCCAACACTGATGCAAATATGGCCCTATTTTACCGTAAACCCTAAACCCATAGCCTTGAAAATAGTACCCATATACGCTCCCTTACTCCCTCTCAAGAACCAGTAAGAGAGTACAGTTTGTCCAGGCAAAGTCCTGTGTGGCGCGGGTCCAGCTGGCTCTCCCTGCATGGCTTCTGCTCAAGATAGAACTCCCCCCAGAGTGGTATACGATAATCTACTGGGGATGTGCAATATTAGGGGGTGGTTTCAGTATGGAGGGAAGGGATTATAATGATACGTAAATCGTAAGTTACGATAACAAGGAGACCCTCGTATTGAAGCACTATGCATCCGCCCAGCAAAAGCACTCCATAATGATGTCATTTCGCGAACGCCTTTTCTTGTTTTACGGGGGTGGGATTCTTGCAGGGCAAGATGAAAGCCAGGGCTAACAGTCATGGCAGCTGCAATGCGGAAACACAAGCCCTGCCTGATGAATCTGTCTGCTACCACCTTCGGGTCCTCGCCCCGATTCCAGGAGAGTGAAAGCTTCTGTGCCCCAAACTCCACAGGAAATGTGAAGTCATAGCTGCCGCCACCTTGCCCGGATTCAAGCTGCAAGCAATTCCGAAACATAACTACTGCACATCCCCCCCATATGATGTAAGGTACACTTCTTAATTGAGGCGTGCAGCACCAAACCCTGAACCTTATCTATCTGTCCTGAACCCTAGTTTTCCCCCTGCAAAACCCTGTAAAACCCTATGTCTCTGTTATTCCTTTATTAAGGGGTTTGGGGCTTTCTGGGCAGTGCCTGTGACAGTGCTAGGCACACTCGCTTGCGTTGCCGCCAGAGCAGCTGCTCGTGCTCCGAAGTCCTCTCGCACTGCCTGGCGACCATCAACTTGCAGCTGGAGAATCATACTATGGCACAATATCACATAACATAACATGACATACTGTAATATCAGATCTCAAATGACCTGATAGTATATTGCCTGCCATATATGTATATGTGTGCATACATATTAATATGTATATATGCACACTCTATACCTACCGCCCCATCTCACTCCAACCCCCAGCCCTCCTGTGGAGCAGCACGGGCTGGGCTTCGCGTCCAAATGGTACAGCTGCAGTCCCCGCAGGCCACAGCCAAGTCGCCGTTGGATAGGAAGCTAAGGCCGTAAACCTGCATCTTTCAATCCTCAAGCCATTATTATTATTATTGCCATTACGTACTATTATTACTATCATCCCTGCTATAATTGTCAATATTACTACTATTATGATTACTATTATCACCCCCAACCACCAGGGTGTTTAGGGGGTAGGGTTTGCCTTCCAATTCTTGACAGCTCCAAGCCTCCCCGCACACTTGCAGGTCTGCGCTCTGCCGCAGTGTTGAGCCTCGCGCCGGACTGTCGCGCACATAATTATGGGGATATATGGAGAATCCAATGCGAAGAAAATGGATGATGACATGGAAGCTGGGACTATTCATAGATTGGCTTACTGGGATCATAGTATAGAATGCAGCAAACTTCAACACATGGCACAAGCATTGCGCAGCCCGCCTTCGTGCACAAGGATGAAGACTTGGCCATCAGACGTGCCGGCAGCAATCTCTCCTGTGTTCCTCCGTGCCAGAGCCAGCACATAGGACCTGGGATCAACGATCACCAGGTTTGACACACACAAATTTCCCGCTTTTGTATTTTCGACTTCCAGTACTCAAATTCCTCAAGTAGGACAAGCCACGATGCGACCTTCCGCTCCGCTAAAGGATGACCTGCACTTTTTGCCACTGGGTTGCTTTCAGGGTTTGGGGTTCAGGGTTCAGGGTTGGTTCCCTTTGAGGGGGTCATAGGTTGTAAATACAGGAGCTATTTCGGGGTTGTACAGGGGCTACATATGGTGACCACAGGAGAAATCAAAACGGCGGGCTGCAACCCATCGATCGCCATTGACCAATAGTTTGATGTAGGGCAACAGGGCTTGAGCAAGAAATGACAACAGAAATTCAGTAATAGAAATAGTAGTAGTGATGATCAATACATCTAGAAAGAGAATACCAATAGCAATGGTGGCAGTGGTCTCAATGTCCATAATAGCACTAGTAGAATATTAATAATAGCGAAAATAACTTCATGGGAATACGCCGGGCCGAGGAGGAGGAGGGCTGGGTTATTTAAATTCCACATATGATAGTAATTATACTAATAAGGGGATTTCCCAAAATTTGGGGTACCATTTTGGGGGTCCCCGTAATGAGGATCATAGTATTTTGGGGTCTATATTGGGGTCCCCCATCTTGGGAAAACTACCATAATCGTACTAGTAATCATCGTAACAGCAATGGTAGTAATAGCCTGGCCTGTTGCTGCGTCCCAGAGCCTAACCATGCCATCGTTTCCACCAGCAGCCACCAGCGAACCTCCGCAAGCACAAAGCGCGCGCACTACCTGCTCCAGGATAAATGAAGGATACATCTAAAGGGGCTATATTGAGGGCATCTTCGAAGGGGTTGTGGGGGATTTTTAGAGGTATATAAGGACATATAAGGTGTGGGGCTTAGAATTTCGCAAAATTTGGGACGCCACTGTAGGAAGGACTATAACATCTAAGGTCTAAACTGGGGTCACCCATTTATGGAAACTACCAAATACACGTTTTTCTTGTTTTGCAACGCCGGCACTTTGCATAGCAATTCGCCCTGGTCGGGTTGACTACCTAGCTGAATCGCACATTGCTTCTGCCACCTCCCTGCTTTTAGAATGTGCGATCCATCGTGATTAACCCCATCCCTCTAACAATAAACCCATCCCACCAGTATTCAATGTTCCCATGATAAGACTGTATAGTATGCTGGAAAGGTTTTGGGGGGCCTTGAGTGGGACGGTTCACAATAGGGCTAGGTGACTAGCTATCAGCGCCACTATATCTGCCGGACATCGAGCTTTAAACTTAAGCACCCAGCCACTCAGCATACACACGTTCGTCGAATACTATCTCATACAAACTGCTCCCGTTGCGTCTTCGTACCATAGCCTAAGGAATTATTTTCATCTAGATGACCCCTTTAATTACAAACCCAAATTCCTGGTCATTGCCGTCTTCTTTGCCATTTGAACCTTCATCGTCCCTAAACCCCAACCCTACACGTTACCATAAATCCTCAGTTTCCACTTCATCTTCCACTTGCTTGTCCATTTTCATTTGGTAGTTTCCCAAAAATAGGGGACCCCAATATAGACCCCAATATACTATGATCCTTATTACGGGAACCCCCAAAATGGCACCCCTAATTTTGGGAAATTTCCATGTACAACTGTTGGGACAATGTCTCTACGAACCAAACCTGCTTAGCTTGAAGGCTGCGAAGCTTCTGCCCGTCTCGCCAGACGCCGATGCTTTGATCACCGCCTAAAGTGGGCAAGGAGTAGATCATAGTATGGGTTTAGGGTTTATATTGGGATAATGGAAAGGAAAATGGAAACTACAATTTAGGGTTTAGGGTTTAGGGCACAGTCCCCTTTAGAGTTTTGCTGGTGTTGGCCCACACAAAACTAAGCTCCGCGCTTCCACTCACAATGTCTCCATTGTCCAAACCTTGGCTGCAACTGAGTAAATGAAGGCCCGACCTGCAAGGCTGTACCCGAGTCGTGACTATTTAGCCGTTAAGTGGGTTTGTGGGGGTTAATAATTCGATTGATAGGGCATGCAACATACATATACATGCATTTTGCATGTGCAGGATTCAGGGCCCAACCCTGAACCCTAAATCCTAAATCCTAAACCCTAAATCCTAAACCCTACATCTTAAACTTAAACCCTAAATCCTAAACCCTAAACCCTAAATCCTAAACCCTAAATCCTAAACCAACCGTAGAAGCCTTAAAGCTGAGGCCAAGACCCACCACAGCGTTTATGGCGATCTCATGGCCGGCCATGATAACTGGTGGCTGATCACCCCTCCAGACCCGCACCGTCTTATCCCAACCGCCTGAGAGGGGGTTATATGGGAGTTTCCCAAAATTAGGGGTACCTTTTTAGGGGTCCCAATATTAAGGATTCTAGTATTTTGGGGTCCATATTGGGGTCCCCTAATTTTGGGAAACTACCATATGA